GCGCCGACCACGTCTTCAACTACAAGACCGCCAACATCGACGAGGAGCTGAAGAAGGCGGCGCCGGGGGGAATCCACTGCTATTTTTCGACAATGTAGGTGGATGTGGGCGGTTGTGGGCGTGGGCGGATGGCTGGGGGGATGGATGTAGGCGTGGTGGATGGATGAGGGGGTGGATGTTGTCGTAGGTGGTTGTAGGCGTGGGTGATACTTGGTGTTAGTGGATGAATAAAGGGGTAGATGTGGCTGTGAGTGGAGTGTGGGTGGATGGATGAGAGTGGGTGGAGGGAAAGAAATGGGCGTGGGAGGTAAAGGGGGAGGAGGGGAGGAGAGGGTAGGGAGAGGGAGAGAGAGAGAGAGAGAGAGAGAGAGAGAGAGAGAGAGAGAGAGAGAGAGAGAGAGAGAGAGAGAGAGAGAGAGAGAGAGAGAGAGAGAGAGAGAGAGAGAGCATAATCGTTCGTTATTATTAATGCTTGTAACTTTTTATTTATTTAAGAGTTTATATAGTTAATTTAACTCATTTCAATGAATGGTCCAAAGTTTATTATAACAACAATTAAAAATCACTTTTAGTTCGACGTGTTTTTTTGTTTTTGTTTTTTTGCAGTGACATTTCATAGTCCTCATCGTCCGCGAGTAAATCACCATCACCTCATCACTATCATTTTCCTCTCATTTTCTCCTTAAATGTGCTTCAAATCATGATCCCTTTCCTCACTCACCTCATACTCTCCTCATCTTACACTCTCATACCCGCCTCATAGTCTCCTCAAAGGCATCCTCCTCCTCATCACTAACTACCGATAACTCACTTTCCCCTCACGTTCTCCTCAGGTGGGCGACTTCACTCTTCACGCCCTCAGACACATGGTCGACCACGCCCGCATTTCGGTCTGCGGCGCGATCTCCACCTACAACAACGAAAGCAAAGACCAAGGGAAATTGGTCGCTAATAGTACGTATTGTGGGGTGTGTTGTGGTGAGGGTGAGGCTGGTGGTGACTATGGTGATGGTGGGGTGTGATGGTAATTGTGGTGAAGATGGTAGTGGTAATGGTGGGGGTGGTGAGGATGGTGGTGCTGGCAGCGGTGGATGGTGAGGATAGTACTGGTGGTGGTGACTGTGGAAATGATGGGGTGGTGAGGATGGTGATGCTTATGTATTGGTGAGATAAACGATGGTGCGTGATGGTGGTGGTGTGATAATGCTGCTGATGATTGTGGCAGTGGTGGTGATGATGAAAGTGGTGGTTATGAAATGGAAACGATATTCGGATGATGAGCATGATTGTGGTTATGATAAAGATGATGAACATCTGTAGTGATAGCATCAGAATATTGGTTACACGAATTTTAGTGTTAAAAGCAAATTATGAAAATTAAACGGACCATAGTGATATTGGTTATATGAACTGGCAGTGATGGTGTGGATAGCAAAATTTATCATAACTTATGAGGATGTAACAACATGCATATATGACAATATACAAAACAAATATTATAATAATGGCATAACACTAACCTTTTTGGTTTTACATTTAGAACATTTTACTATCTTACCTTTTAAAAATCACTTTCAACTTATTCAATCCATCAGATTACACTCACCCCAGGCATCAGTAATCACAATCAACACTGAAGTTCCCATCAAATTTTCTATCCAATGTTCGTTCACCAATGAACCACTCCCTCCAACAGGTCCATACGACACTTCTCTCATAATCACCAAACAACTGCGTATTGAAGGTTTCCTGGTGAACCGCTGGCTAAACCGCTGGCTGGAGGGACTCACGCAGTTGAAGCAGTGGGTGCAGGAGGTTAGTATATCTGTTGGTATGTTTTTTGGACGTTCCAGGTGACTGAACGTAAGTTCCATTGCTCCAAGACTGATAAGGAGGAACCGTATTCATGATGACAAATGTAGGAAAGATATGAATGAGAATGGATATCTTCTCAATACAAGAGATGTATTTGGCCGGTTTCGATTATATCTTATATACATAGCACGTATATATATGCTATGTATTTTCTCTTTTCTCTTATGTATGCATTTCTCAGTCATACCTTTTCGACTGATAAGGAGGTTAAACAGCCGCGGTATATCGGCGTGTAAGTATTTTTTCTGTGCATACCTTAGATCAGGGTGACCAACCTTTGGTGAGATAGGATCTACTTTTTCTGCAGTTACCCTGATGCGATCTACCAGTTTAAGATTCAAACTTAAAAATAATTGTATTTTGCTCAGACGTCAATATCTATAAATATAAATAAACATTCCCAGAAAAAGAGAAATGTAAGAATGCAGTATCAAGTATTGCAGCTATTTGCATGACAACTTCTGAAGGATGAATCATTAACAGGTACAGTAGTGTGATCGACTTAAAACAGGCTTGTGATCGACCATGGTTGGTCACCCATGCCTTTGATGATTCAGTATATCTAAGTATACTGGTATGTTTTATATCTTGTTGATTTTATATGTA